GAAGGTGAACGAGGGTCTCCCATGCTTCAAGTGTAGGGGTGGTCTGCGAAGCAATGGGCTCTTTACGTCTTCTCTTCCATACCACCCAGAGTGTGAGAGGACGAAAGCTTTGGAAGAGGGTCCTTTGCCAGGTTACGGGGAGGGTTCGGTTTGGTTCCTGCAAGCTGGCGAGTCGTGTGATGTGATATGCCTTGGCAGAGGCAAATCTGTCACGGAGGCCCATAGTGTTTCTGTCCTATCCCACAGCTGTGTTGTATTTGTCTGGAAGTGTTTGGTTTGGTTCCCGCAAGCCAGTGAGTCGTGTGATGTGATTCCTTGGCACAGGCACATCAGTCACGGAGGCCCTTAGCGTTTCTGTCCTATCCCACAGCTGTGTTGTGTTTCGACGGGCGAGCAAGCAATGGGGTAGGTCCTCGGCGGTTCCTTCCTCGCACAGTGCACCGAGGTCATCCAGCTGTTGTCTGGCCGCTTCAGATCTTCGTCTGCTTAGCCATTCGCTGACCGGCAATGCGTGATAGTAGATGAACCATTGCATGCTTCTGATGTGGGTGTTTCTGATTGCCAGGTGGACGTGGCCCGAGATCTGTGTTTGGGCCCCTAGCCCTCCTGGTACGTGCTTCTCCCACCTTATGGATAGGGTGTCAGTGTGTCACTTGTGTTGACTGCGCGCCTCCTTGGCTTGTAGCCAAACCGTGCTGTGTAGTCTAGGATGCTGGTTCTGCGTTCCGTCCCCATTTGCCCAGAGGTTGTTTTCCATGCCCACTCTGCTGGATCGACTTCCAGTTCTCGCAATCCTAATGCAGGATTGTAGATCCTGTACCCGTCATCCTCCAGCAACCTCACTTTTCTCGGGGCGTTGGGTTTGGCTGTTACTCTGGCTGCCACTGTTTTTGTGACTGTGCTCACGGTCTGTCCTGGCTGCTGGATACCATGAACGGTCGATTGTGTCCAATCCTCAGCTGGACCTGTTTGTTTGACTAACTATAGGGCCACTGTTGGGGTGTCTTCGCAGATCCAGACGTCCATGTGGGGAGGGCGTGCAGTAGCGGTAGGTCCTCTGGAGGAATCGATTCCAGGAGGGCGGCCAGGTTGTCATGCAGGTTGTGGGAGCCTTTGAGGGTGTGCTTGCAAGTTCTGTGCCGGTTTTCCATCGGCCGCACTGGTGATTCCATATATGGCTTATCCTCCAAGCTCCTCGTTCTGACCACATGATCCAGTGGCCGTCCTGAGACGTCCGTGTCCAAGGTTTATCTGCCTTGTCTCTGAGCCACTGGTTGCAGAAAAGCGGCTGACGCATGACCTCTTCCCTGTTTATCGGTCGGCGAACTTTGGCCGGGAAGATTTCTCTCCAAATTTTAACGAGGTACATCCAGTAGTCTGTCCGGGTCTTGTGCAGTGCCTGTTGTTGGTGCTGTTGTTGCTGCTGTTGCTGCGCACCACGTCGGGCGGCCCATGATTTGGACATCTGACCATGGCCCACTTTACCAAAATGATGTGGGCCTTTCTTTTTTTTTCCTAACATCTTCTGAGGGCCGACCATCGGAGGCGATAAGAACTCTCTCCAAGGGAGGGCTACCTCCATTTGTGATAGCTCCAATCCATTGGAGGGGAGCTGTACCCACTGGACACTGGGATCAGTAAACCCTTTTTTTTTTTTTTTTTTTTTTTTTTTGACCAATAAAACCCTCATTTGACCCACACCCTCATAATTGTCCCCACTGAGACCAGTAACCACCCCTTGTCAAAATAGCTAGCTCAGTTAGTGATGCTCTACTGACTTCACCCGGATAGAACACCTGGTCATCATCATTAAAAAACTGCATCGACTACAGCTATTATGACTAGGTATTCTATTTGGGTGAAGACGGTCACAGGTAAGGGGTGAAAACTTGGAAAAGCATAAAGAAAGTGTCGAAATCCACAGGTTTAAACTTGAGAGAACGCTGGAGAAGAGTGTCCTACCTTCTTCCCCCGAGCATAACGCATATACATTGTATTGGGGACTTCGAAAAAAAAATGATGATTTGAATAGAACAAATGTGCGTTGTATTCGAATATACTCGCTGTTCGAATAGAACGCATGTGCGTTGTATTCGAATAGAAAGAAGCCTATGCGTTGTATTCGTTTACAACACATATGCATAATGTTCGGGGGAAGACGGTATGCAAGGAAACACTGCCAATTGATAGCCTGAATGCTTCGCCAACACTCATGGGGTGATCTGGGTCATTGCAGGCCTCGAAAGATAAGGGTCCAGACCTTTGTCGGTTCGAAAATACTCGGCCTCCGACCTTTCAGGAGGCCGAAATGAAGCGCCGGCCGCCGATCAGATTTATCAACGGCGGGCTTGGCCTCCTGAAAGTTCGGAGGCAGACCAGTACTTGTCGAAAATAGGCTCGGAGGTACTAGTGGTTTAACTTGAAGAAGAGTAAAAGGCGTACATGTTTGTTACTGCTCAAACTACCGTCTTCACCCGAATAGAACGCCCGGTCATTATAGCTGTATTTGGCACAACTTGCAGCCCAGATACGGCGATAATTACCGGCCGTTTTATTCGGGTGAAGACGGTAGTAGGGGAAGCAGTAGTCATTCAACACTTGGCGTCCATGAAAGTTCAGAGGGTCGGTAGGCCCCGCACGCCAGTGCATGGTCTTTACAGGGCCTACCAGGTCTCAAAAGACCATGCTGGGCCTACTAGCGTGCATGGGTGTGCGCACAGGGGGCCACCATCGCCTGGACACGTCGGAATTGCGCTTGTTCTCGTGCATGCGTGCGCGCATGCGCACAAGTGTGTATATCGGACAACGTGATAACCTCAGAAAATTGGTCCATACCAGAAATATCGGAATGGAAGAATACCACAACTGTATTTTCCAACAACAGTGCATTCCAAAAGCTTTCTCAAATGATCGCCACCACGATAGAGAAACTGAGTCTGACGAAGTAAAGAAAGAAACACACAAAAGAAAACATAGAGGTCAGTAACAGACTGTTTCCTCGGACTCTCACCGACTCATCAGGAGGATGAACCCTCGATAATATACGGAATCCCTGTTGATCCATCAAGTCGTAGTCTACTCCAACCCCTGTGGCGAGTAGACAGCCAAGCAGGTGATGATACCAGCAGCAGAGCAAAGCATGCAGCAAAGGCCTGCGGAGTGAGAGGTAGGCAGGCACGCACTGAATGAGATGGCAGCTTGATGCCCCCCTCCGCCCCCATCTCTCTCTCTCTCTCTCTCTCTCTCTCTCTCTCTCTCTCTCTCTCTCTCTCTCTCTCTGCCCCTGGTGAGCAAGAGGTGGGCAGGCACACACCAAGTGAGATGGAACTTCCACCCGTGGACCAGTCCAACGCTCCCCACCTCTTTTGGGGGTCCACT